CACCCCACCCCCGTTGGAGTAGGTCACTAGCCCCAGCAGTTGGGCCACCTGGGGAGTTCAGGCCCCATTGACCCCATTTGACCAGCAGAGTCACAGACTAGTGTCATAAGAGGTCCCAGACTCAATTGGTCTGACAGTTCCTGAACTGGCCCAAGATAAGGATCACCTGGAGTAGTTGTTGAAAACAGATCCCCGAGCTCCAACCTGAACTGTAGAATCAAAATTTCAAGGGAAAAAGTCCATTAATTCACATGCCTAACAAATGCTGCAGGTGACTGTTATCACTGAGACATTTTGAGAACATGCTGATTCTGGTGAATTAAGTAATTCAGCTGATAAGCCGCAGAGTTTACAAAGTGGCTTGCCCAAGGTCACCTAGCAGAGTCAGGAGCCAAACTCTGTCTTCTAATGCTTCTTTGCCGGGCATCCTGGCCCCAGGCTGGGAGTTAGGTGTGAAAGTGGGAAGTCCTGGCCCCAAGGTAAAGGGGCAGTGCTAGGTCACTCACGTGTCAATGGCTTGCTGGAATTTCCCAACTCTAGCAAAAACTCTGCCAATGTTGTCAAGGGCTCTCGACTTGGCATCAGGAAGGTCACTGTGGGGAAGAATCATGACAATTTGTTCACTAGATATCCACCATTCTAGGCACTGTGAAAAAAGAAAAAAAGTCAGACAGGGGCCCTGGCCTTAGAGACTCAGGGTCTAGTTCGAGGGACATACCCAGGTTGGCAAGGCTGACACACACTGGCCCTCTCATGCTCATGAACTAGGGTAAGCATTATTGGGACATTTCTGGAGGATGATTAGTCAACAGCTTGCAAATATGTTCCTTTGATTTAGTAATTTCCCGGTTAGAAATTTACCCCAAGAAGATAATGTGACAGGAATGCACTTTAAAGCAATCTAAACATTATCAGTGCCTTAACACTGGCAATTTTTGTGTATGAAAAAAACGTCCCTGATATATTAAGTTAAAAAGTCGGATGATAGGAGTGTATACTATGTGCATTGCTCCAAAATAAATATGTGGGCCTGAAGCATGAAGTTGTGCTTCCGGCTTTGAAAATGGAGGAAGAGGCCAGGAGCCAAGGACGGCCATGAATGCAACTCAAGAAGCTGAAAAAGGCAAGGAAACAGATTCTGCCCTAGCACCTCTGGAGGGAGTGTAGCACCTCGATTTTCGCCCAGTGAAACTGCCATCAGACTTCTAACCGCCAGACTTCTAACTATAAGAAAAGAAAAGTGTGTTTGTTTTAAACCACCAAAAAATAAGTAAATAAGTAAAAAGTGGGCATTTTTAAAAGAAGTAGAGAGAGAGAAGGTAAGTCTAACTATTAATGGTGATCACCCAAGAGAAATGAGAGTATGAGGGAAACTTTTAATTTACCCACATCATTTAAATTTTGTACAGT